CCCTAAACCCTAGAGCTTAAAGCCTAAATCCTACACCCTAATAAACCCTGAACCCGTAAACACTAAACCCTAAACCCCTAAACACCATAACCCCCTAAACCCTACTAAACCCTAAACCCGTAAAGACTCTGAGCTTGGAAGAACAAAACGCAGAGCCAAGCCGCTGCAGAGGCTCGCGCAGGCTCCCAGGTAAGAAGAAGTCCTGCATTGCGGTTTAGGGTTTAGGGTTTAGGGTTTAGGGTTTAGGGTTTAGGGTTTAGGGTTTAAGGTTTAGGGTTTAGGGTTTAGGGTTTAGCATGCAACAGCCCAAGAAGGTTTAGGGACTTTAAAGGGTTTAGGGGAGTTTAGGGTTTAGGGTAAGACTCTGGGCTCTTGTTGAGGATTTTAAGTTAAGGTAATGTAGGGGCCTTAACAATTTTTGGGTATATTAGACCATAGTTATAATAAGGAACCTCCACAGTAGTATTGGTAATGCTTCATGCCTCTACATTATCATTACCATGACAGGCATCTGTAATAAATAAAATCGTTTCTTTATTGTGGCAACTTAAACTAAATCTCTTAAGAAGAACCCAGAAGACGTCAGAGTCAGATCCAATGAGGGTGCCCGAATGATTACAAAAGGATTTGGGCACATAGTGCAGACCATTGTTGGGTTAAGGAGCCCTACGAAGAGCAGGCAACCACCCTTACGGTATACACCCGAATCAAAACATTGTTACGCACCCTCAAACCAAGCAAGATAACCTGTCAAAGAACCGCTCAAAAACACAAACACGACGAAGTCCTGCGTGCGGTCGGAGTAGGTCAGCATCTGCCAAAGAGGATCCGATTGGCATTGAAGTGATAGGGAGTCGGATGAAGCTTTTTGGTTTTTGGTACAGGCTACTAGGATTTTGGATGGATTCTACAGGACTTTGCACGGTTCGATGCGCTTTTACACGAGCATTATTAGGGTACCAAACGAGCTGCTAATGTAGGGGCCTTAATAATTAGAACAGGGTTAGGGGGTAAATTATACTAGTATTATAATAAGGAACCCCATAAATAGTAGTGGTAGGCAATCTAGGCCCCTAAGATTCTACGCTGTGAGGGTCGTAACGGGGGATCTGTCGTTCTGATTGAAGGGAGATCACGGATGAGATATTCAAATTGCGGGGTTTAGGGCTGAAGGCTTCGGGTTCACGGCTTACAGTTTAGGGTTTCGGGCTTAGGCTTTGGGAGTTTGTGGTTCAAAAATTAGGATAAAGCTACCTTAGGGGTGCTCGTGCTCGAATTACTTGGAGGTTCATGGGTAGTTATAAGTGGGGTTATAAGCAGGGTAACTATAGCTGAGGAAATTGGGTCTCTCCCCTGCATGGAAACAGTTCACAGGACAGTCATGCAGTTTTGTATACGTCTGCAGGCTGGCTACGAAGGGATCGCCTTGAGCCGTGCAGTTTTTAACATGCCTGCAAGTGCATGCAAGTTCAAGGTCCAATCATGACGAATGCTAATGCATGTTCGCTGAGGGCCGTGATATCACTTCGCTGTTGTGTTGGAAAACAAATCAAATTCGTCCGAGTGCTAGCCATGGCAGAGTGGAGTCATCGCTGATTTCTGCTATCCTGGAAGCCTCTCGGTTTTTCGAGGTTATGAGCGCCCAAGCAGCTGCCGAGACGCAGCCGAATGGTGTTGTAAGACCGCAGGGGGCAGAGCGGATGTATGGCTCTATGGAACAAGCAACTGTTTCTGGGGCGGTGACTGCTCAGCTTCAGACGGCGGACAGCGCGAATGGTGAGGTTCAAGTCCGTGTGCAAACAAGAGAGGCTGGCTCGTTGCAAAATGATGATGATGATGCAGCAAAGCTGGCTGGAGGTGAGACTGCGGATGTCACCGAAGATATGCAAGTGGATGCTGTGGGAAGTTCTACTGTGACTGGACTTGCTGCTCAGGAGACGCAGACTGGCGAGCAAATCAGGTCCCAAGGGCCTGCAATCGCAGTGGGGATCGCTGAGCAGGGAGTGAGGGCGACAGTGGAACAAGCAGCGTCAATGGGTGGTGGTTTTTCGTCAGATTACCATACACCAAGATCAAGTATGGGCTCGCAGATTCCTGGTGTGGGAGCTGTGAGAACTGGGACTCAGGGGCCGTGGCCAGGCTGGGTTTCAAGGCTGGGTGATTTATTCAAGGCCCCGCCGATTCCGAATACGTGGTTGCCAAGTCCAATTCCTTCACCCCCTCCGAGGTTGCAAGGACAGTTTCGGATGGCGCCACATGGAGGAGGTGTACGTCAAGATGGTGCACTGGACGGTGGTTTGGGCTTCCCTAAGGTATATAGGTCGGGTCACCCAAATAATACCCCCAGCAGTAGCAGCATCCCAGCAGAAGCAATACAAGCTGAAGTCCAACGGCAAATGGGTAGTTTGTTGTCAAGACTATCCGAAGTGGAAAGCGACAATGCAAGACTTCAGCTGGAGCTGCAAGCAGAGAGGCATCGAGCTATTAGTGGAGATGTACCTAGGTATGAACCTAGTCATGGTGTACCTGTTGATGATCCTGTTCAACACGGAGAAGCCCCACCTCTAAGACCTGGAGATCCTGATGGAGCTGCTCGAGTACAAGAAGGAAGAAGTGAGGCGTGGAGTAAGCTCTGGGAAGGGATCACAGCAAAGCTTCCGACGAGGAGTACTACCACTGCGGCCAAGCAGCCAACTCTGCCAGTACCGCCTGTTGTGGGCCCTGGAGTAGACTCTGAGGTCAAGACCAGTGGGGTGCCTCTCAGGGGTCATGAAGGCATTGGAGTCATCGAGGCCTTAGCGCAGAGCATGAGGCAGATTCAGGAGCTCCAAGTCCAGGCCATGACCAAGGATGGAGGAGATGCTGAATCTCCGGAGGCCGTGAAGACTGCAGTGACGACCTTGCCAGGATTGGGAGTACCTGAGGGAGATCAATGCGGGCTTCAGTTTCAGGACTGGGTGATACAGGTTACCACAGCTATGCAGGATCTCTCTACCAGCTCAGGTACATGGTGGGAGCAAGTAAAGGCAAAGGTTGTTGTCGCTTACTCAAGATGGTTGGCTGCAGCACCTCTGGAAAGACTGAGTATTGAGCCGGATGGGACGGGAGAGCTGGTTTCGGGAAGATATTTGAGGATCAATGCTAGGTCTTGCGCAATGGTGATTCAAGCAGTCCCTGAGGCTATCAAGACTGACCTTATCTCCCGAAGAGCCACGCAGAGTATGCCAATGTTACTGTTCAGGCTTTACACTTTGTATCAACCAGGGGGTGCAGGCGAGCGTGCAATCATATTGCAGCGTCTACAAGGTGGCGAGAGATCAACAACCACGGAGGATTGTCTGCGTCAGCTTAGGTCGTGGCCAAGGTGGGTGCAAAGGTGTCAAGACATGGGAATGGCAGTTCCGGATGGTACAGTGTTGGCTCGTGGGCTGACAAACCTCACCCAAGGAGCCATTCACCAGTCTCCAGATGCCCTTTTCCGAACTCAGCTGGTCAGAGCAACTCTTCGTATAGATCAACAACCTGCGCTGTCGGATGTGATGAAGTATCAACAGCACTTACAAGCTGAAATCGAGAACATCTCAACCTTGGGGGTGTCTACTACAACCACACCTTCTATAAGAGCGGTTACCTCGACAGGTCAGTCCGCTTCATCCCCATCGAGTGGGAAACAGGCGTGCAAGTACTTCATCAAGGCCGGTGGTTGCAGAAGAGGAAGCAGGTGCCCATATCAGCACGACATGAGCTCCCTGTCCAAGAATGAAAGGGCTAAAAAGTGCTTGGTGTGCGGTGCAGAAGATCATCGTCAACGCGATTGCCCAACCAAGGCGCCTAGAGCAACGGGTGCGAGGGGGTCTACAGCTAGTGCAGAAACCTCAAGGCGTGGTGGAAGCACGGGTGAGCCTGAGTCAGAGACCTCGCCCAAGTCAGTGGCAAGCATAGAACCTGCGCAAGGGCAGCCGGTGCTGTCATGGGAAGCTTTACTTCAAGCCGCTGCTAAAGTGGCCGGGGTGCCTCCTGAAGCAAAGGCTCCATCCCTGAGGGTCCTCTCAATCCATGGTTTTCCAGAAGATGATGTTCGTGGAGGAGGAGCATACGCGTTGGTGGACTCCGGGGCCACGCATCCACTACGGCGGGCGACAACCCAGCAGGAGTGGAATGCGGCTTCTACGGTGGTTGTTCACCTAGCCGGTGGTGAAGTCGTTGAGCTCAAAATGAATGCAGCGGGTACCTTGCTGGTACCATGTGCAGGGACAACAAGGACAACAAGCACTGCGCCAATCGTACCGTTGGGTTCCTTGGTTGGAATTCTGGGCTATAGTATGGAGTGGCATGGTTCAAGATGTCGTCTGGTGGGTCGTGATGGAGAGATTTTGAACTTGAGAGTTCGAGATGGCTGTCCCGAGATTACAGAGCGGCAGGCACTGGATCTGATTTCAAGGATTGAGGACAAGAAGCTGGAAGATTTGAAGACGGCAACGGTGTCTACAAAGAGTAAGATCCGGGAATCGGTGATGGCTTTGAACCGAACATGGTTTGACCATTTGGTTTCATACTGCAGATCTGGGATTGGTGCTGAAGCGCAATATGCTGTCCGGGATGCGCCTTTCTTTGATGAAGTTCCAAAGGAAGCGCTGTATGGCCTGTCAGAGGCGGATCCAATCAGCAATGGATGGGAGGCCCTCAAGGGATTTAAGCATCTGAACCGACGTACCAGGAAGAAGCTGTGGGTCTCCAGAAACTGGGTTCTTCATCTATATGCAGGAAAGCCGCCGAATGAGGAGATTCTGTTCCTTGAGCGACAGGGGTTTGCAGTGCTGGAGTTGGACTTACAGAGAGGTAAAAGTCATGATGTATGTGATCCATTGGTGTGGAGGGCCATTGAGTGGGCTGCGAGGTCTGGAAGGATCGCGTCAGTTGTGGGAGGTCCGCCTCAAAATACGTTTATGTTGAGGAGGAGTATGACCCCAGGTCCGGAACCAGTTCGCAGTAAGGAATACTTGTATGGTGGTTGGTATGGTCAAGCACCAAAGGAGCTGGAGTTGGTGAATCGGCACACAAGCTTATTTGTGAAGATGATCTACATACATGCTCTTGCAACAGCCGGAAGGTGTGTGTATCCACCGGAGCCGAATGACGTCAAGGAAGTGGGTTTCATGCTGGAGCAACCAAGGGACCCAAGAACTTATTTATCCTTTTCGCACCCGCTCGTCGAGGACTCAGTGAGTTTCTGGAGGACAGGTTTGTGGATTCAGTACGCCGAGGAAGCAGGTTTGACAACGTACAGCTTTGATATGTCTTCGCTTGGTAAAGCACTGGCTCGCCATACCACAGTTGGTACCAATCTTCCGCTTAGGCATCTTCATGGACTACGTGGACGGATTCAACGTGATGCACAACCACCGGTGAAGGCTCCGCCATCAGTTTGGACAAAGGAGTTTTCGGAAACAGTATCAATTGCGATTCGAGAGCAGCGAGTTTCCCCACGGATGTTGAAAATGTCAGCAGAGCAATGGAAGGAGCATGTTCGTCGGGGACATCTGCCCTTTAGGTCCGACTGCACAACTTGCGTGACGGCAGGAGCTACCGGAAGGAGACATGCCAGGGTTGAGCACCCGTCGTGCTTTGTTCTGTCTGCAGATGTAAGTGGTCCGTTGAAGATTCCGGGACTTGATGCAGATGCGCGTGGAGCATTTCCGAAGCCTCACAAGTATATGTTCGTTGCCAAGTTGAAGGTTCCAAAAACGTTCTTGGATGATGGAAGAGGGGTTTGTGTTGACTATGACCCGGGGGAGCTGGAAGCTGATGTAGAGCCAGGAGAGGATGCCTTTGACTACGTTGAGCCTCTAGTTGAGCATGCTCCTGGTGAAGGTCATGGAGATGGGGGTCCTGAGCATCAAGAAGACCAACCAGACGATGATGGTCAAGAAGACGGCGAGGAAGATGATCAGCCTGGACAAAAGGTGAGTCCGGAGGAGGAACTTGATATGACGGGTCCAGATACAGTGAGCCTGATCTTTGCAACTGCCATGCAAGACAACAAAGGTGCTACAGTTTTGGAGGCAATACAGGATGTGGTTATGTACTGCTGGTCCTTGAATATACCAATTGTAAGATTTCACTGTGATCGTGGAATGGAGTTTTACGCCAAGGCTACTAGACAATGGATCAAGTACCATGGAATGAGGTTTACCACCAGTGAAGGAGGACTACATCAACAGAATGGTATGGTGGAAAATGCAGTACGCTATATCAAGCAGCGTGCTAGAACTTTGTTGATTGGTGCAAAGCTTCCTCAGCGTCTTTGGCCACAAGCAATTTCAATGGCAGCTTCAATGCAGAGGGCGACTACTTTGGGTATGGAAACTCGGTTGGTTGCGCCATTTGGAACCAAGGTCTTGGTCAGAAGAAGAGAGTATGGCGGGACCGCAGAGCCGGGGAAACCTGATGATTTAGCCCCACGCTGGCTGGAGGGTCGCTATTTGGGATTGTCAGATACGTTGAGGCGTGGTCA